ACTGAGATGGAGACTGGAAGTCCACTGCGGCTGAGTCTCCAGGAGGTCCAGCTGCTCCCTGTTCTTGTGAGCCCACTTGGGTCTGGGGGCCTTGGGGGTGATAGCAGTGGGCCCAGCCCCTTCCTGGCCTCTTGTGGAGTGTGGTTTCTGGGGAGCAGCCAGGGTTGGGCTGTCGCCAGCTGCCTCTTGTCTCTGTGGCCTAAGGATGACCACGAGGTAACCGGGGTAAAGGGAGGACAGGGGTGAGCTGCCTCCCTGAGGGTGAGGCAACCAGGGTGCTCCTCATGTACACAGCAGGAAAGGGTGATGTCAGGCTACCTGTCCCCCACCTGGGGGCAACTGGGTGTCCTCACCAGAATCTGACGGCACAGCAGGATGTTGCTGGTGGTATCAGGCTTGGGTTAGGGACTTCACAGGACCCTAGGACCCTGAGCCCAGCGTAGGAAGGCAAAGGACCCCATGACTAGGCTGTGCGTCTTTCCAGCTGCACTGAGACTGTGGAAAATGCTGACCTTCAAGGTGACTCTGCAGCCAGAGTGGGGTGGGGTGGGCCCTGCAGGGCCAGGGTATGGCTTGGAACTGCAGTCACCTCTGGGCTACCTGAGCACATGACCACCAGCTGTCTCACTGGCCACAGGCACCCAGGGCTATCTGAGGAGGCAGGGCCAGGGTGGCCAGCCATCAGCTCCTGCCTGTTGACTGACATTGCGCCCAGCCAATGGAAGTGCTGGCCATAGACAGGGAGGAAGATGGCCAGAATGACCCTGCTCCCTCTGCCCTCCCTCTCACTCCTTCTCTCCCTCTCTCTGTCTCCTCACGCCTTTTCTGTCTCCCCATCTCTGCCTTCCTCTACCTTGCAGGGTGCCTGACTGGTCCTGTGCCTCCTACCCCTTCCAGCAGCCCTGGATCTGGCATGGTCATTCCCCTTCCACAGAAGAGGTGGAGGCCCTGCCCCAGTGTGCAGTGTTAGGTCAGGGGCCACAGTTGTCCTTCCCCGTCCAGGAGAGCCAAAGGGGTTCCCTCAGACCCGAGGGACAGGTGCTTGGGCTATGCCGCCCTCCCTGACCTTCCTGCCGACCCCATGGTCTGTTCCAGCCTCCTGCAAGGTGGGGGCACTAATCTGACTCAGGACCTCCCCCAAGCCTGGCCCCCTCCGCAAGGCCGGCCCACTGCCTTTAGGAGGCCACCAAGTGGCCACCCAGCTGCTGTGGGTGCCCAGCTGTGGCCATGGGCTCCCAAGTGTGAGCCCTGCCCAGGGCTCACATGGCAGCCACAGTGACGAAAGCCAGGGCTTGGGTGCGGGCAGGGATCGGCCTAACTCAAATGCCAGGGCCACAGCGCCCTGCTGGCCCCTCGTTGCCCTCTTCTTCCTGTAAAGACACCTCAGGTACTTAAAGGGCCACCTCCCCTCTTGCTGGCCTCAGGAGCTGTCCCCACCAAGAAGCACCCAGGTTTTGAGATGCACAGAGGGTTTCAAGGTAGAAAAATGCTACAAGGCCATGGAGACCGACCTGCCCCACTCCCTGACAGCCCCCAGAGTGTGATCCCGCAGGGACTATGACACCCCTCCCCTGCTCTGGCTCTGCTGCCTCTGAGAAACAGCCAGAAAATCTCACCTAAGGACAAAGACTGGGGCAGGCGGGCCCATGGCCAGTGTTCCCCCTAAGTTCCTGAACCCCCATGGGCCATGAGCAGCACTACGGCTCCTCCTAGAGACAGCATAAAAGTCACACAGCCACTGTCTCAGCCCTGCAAACTCCACAGTGGTAGGAACACTTTCTGACATTTCTCCATGCCCCAGGCCTTCAACACCGCAGGCCGCTCCAGGAGGGCCAGGCCCTGGCTGCGGCAGCCCTGAGACTCGGATGGAGCCCTGCGGCCACTCTGCACAGCTCTGCCCTGTGCCCTCCAGACCGCCCCACCCTGCAGACACCATTCCAAAGTCCTCCAGGGGGGCTGGTCCCTCCCAGCCAGCCTACTGCTCCCTGCAGCGAGGCCCTGGCACAGGCCTGTTTCTCCCTGCTGCTGCTGATTCCTCTCTCAGGCACAGAGGCTGAGCTGCCCCAAAGGGCCCCGCAGCCCTCGGGCTGGCAGCTCTGACACGTGCAGAGACCAAGGAAACACTGGCAGTGGAGACTGCAGGCTGAGGCTGAGCCAAGCCCAAGGCCAGGGTGAGGCCGAGGTCAGCAGGGGCTCCAGGTAAGGGGGCAGCAGAGGCCAGAGAGACAGCAAAGTTCCCAGGGGGAGTTTGAGCCTTGGCTGCGTGGAGCTGCAAGGGGAGACCACAAGCTAAAACTCTGCACCAAAAGCAGCAACAGCAGGAGCTGAGAGGCACTGGCACACATGCAGGAGTGTGGGCTTGTGTGCCTGCTGTGTGTGTCCACCTACATGTCCTCAGCTGTGTGTCCATGTGCACACATATGCCAGCTGTGCAGAGCCCAGGGTGTTGCCAAGGACTGGCCTGGTGTGCACAGGGGGGATGGTCCTGTGACCACCCTGGAGAGCAGAGCGGGAGTCTGGCCCACCTTCAAGGCTGAGGAGAAGAAAAAGGGGAGGGGAGAGGGGGAGAGGAGAGGGGTGAGGGAAAGGGAACAGGGGAGGAGGAGGGAAAAGGGAGAGGAGGAAGCAGGAGGGGAGAAGGAGGGTGGGGAGGGCTCCCACTCACAATCCTCCTGCCTCAGCCTCCCAAGGAGCTAGGATTACAGTGTAACACTATGCCCAGCTTGGCCTATTTTCTGAGAGGCTCATGGAACTGAGACAGAGGGCAGCAGAGTAGACACGTGTGGGGGCCCTGGCCAGGTTCCTGCCCCAACCATCCAGGAGGGAAGGCATGGATGCTGTGGACAGGGCCGTCCTTTGAAGGCTGGAGGCTGGCAGCAGTGGTAGCCATGCAGTGAATGGTGATGGAGGGGCACTGGAGGCCAAGCTGGCACCCATGGCATCTTTACACAGGGGCGACATCCTCAGCTTTGCTTGACAGAGAATGTTCTCAGCCAGGTGTAGGGGGCACATGCCTGTAATTCCAGCATTTGGGAGGCTGAGGCAGGAGGATCACTGTGAGTTCAGGGCCAGCCTGGGCTACATATTAAGTTCAAGGAGAGCCTGAACTGCATAGCAAAATCCTGTCTCAAAAAACCAAAAAGAATAAAAGGAAGAAAAAGAATGATCTTTCTTGCCAAAGCTTGAAAGCCAATAAAGAGATGTGGGAATCACTAGGAGTCAGAAATGCACTTTAGATCTACCACACCACTCAATTGTCTGGCAAACAAGCTGGGCTGCACCAAGCGGTGTTAAGGTTGGGTGCATGGAGCCCTGCGAGGCGCAGGGATGCAGCCCCCTGGGAGAGCAGCTGGCCTCAAGCCCCTGCTCAGGGTCCACCAAGGATCCTCACCCAGGTCCATGCCCAGAAGCATCAGAGGATACTCACCCTGCACTGTGGCACACCTGGGGACTGGGGGCAGTGAGGGCAGGCTAGCAACCTACAGTTGCGCAGGTTGTTTACTGCACAAGGGAGTCCTACCCAGGGAAAGGTGGCCACAGACCCAGGGACACTCAAACCTCCATGAGCTCAAGGGTCCTCCCAGGAGAGGGACCCACCCTGCCTGCCTGCACCTGTATCCCAGAACGGACAGAGACAATGTGTCATGGATGAATCCACAGGCACAGTGGTCACTGAGGCAGGGCTCCAGACCAGCTGGGAGTGTGTGGAGCAGTCAACAAGCTGAACCCTGAGAAGTCACCGCTCTCCTCTACTAGGGAGCCAGGCTCCATCTGACCTCTGACTCCTGAGCAAACAGCGGCAGCCGGGCACTCCAGGGGTGCTGTCCCTCTCAGCCCTCGGAGCTTCCCTGAGACAGCCCTTGGGCACCCCAGGAAACACCAGCACTGCAACGGACCCCTCAACCTTCCCGGGGCCAGAAGGAGTTTAGAGAGGGAGCCCCACGAGGTGGGGGTGCCAGCTGTAAGCTGGGGGTGGGGCGACCGCTCCAGGAAGGGCCTGTCTTCCGCCACGGAGCAGGCAGCTAGCTGTCTTCCGGCCAGCTCTGAGCCAGGGGGATGAAAGGGTGTCTCCCAGACAACCCAGAATGGGAGGAGGGGAAGGGACTGGGCACCCATCTCGGGGAGGCTGGAGTGACAGGAAGTGCGCCACTGCCCCAGGGCCAGGCGGGCTGAGCTGGCCAGGGCACTCAGGCTGCTACGTCACCCTGTGTCTCTGAGTTCAATTCTCCGCACATCACCCTAGGGCGTCTTATCTGGCCCTGTGCTCGGGGTCTGGAAGGGTGGCCTGTCTAGTCAGCGGTGCGTGGCCACGGCTGAGAGAGCGGGCAGGGTGCATCTGGTGACAGGCGCTAGGCGAGTCACCGACCTTGGACCCCCACGCTCCCCACGCACGGGCTCTTTGCCATGGGAATCGCCTCGGGGTCCACCCCCAGGGAGGATGAGGAAGTCCAACGTGGGTCTAGCTTCAGCCCCTCGCCACAGGCCACTGCTCTCGGCCGCGGGGTCCACAGTGGGGCGGGCTGGGATCCCAGCAGCCAGCGGCCGCGCTTCGGGGTTGATGGCTCCGCCTGGCAGGCCCCGCGCACGTGCTCGCCCCAAGTCCGTGGAGCAGCGGGAGGGGAGGGCGCAGGGCTGTGCCCCGCCCACGTGAATGGAGGAAGGGCCGCCAGGGAGGCGGGGCCTGGGGACAGACCGGGACTGGTGGGACTGTCAGGCTTGTGGGGCGGGGCTGAGTCGGGGGGCGGGACTTAGCGGGCGCGGAAGGAGCGGGACTCTGCCGGTACCAGGCGTGGCTCGGCGGAGGACAGCCCATATGGGGCGGGGCCTGGCGGAGGGGCGGGGCCTCGTGTGGCTCTCCCCTGCCTGTGGGGCGCGGCCGCGAAGAGCTTGGCCTCCCCCGAGGGGGAGGGGCTCAGAGGCCTGGGGGCGGGGCCTGTGTGGGCGTGGCCGGGCGTGGCGGGTTTCCGCGGCAGCGCTCACTTCCTCTGGCGCTCCAGCCGGGCGGAAGTGCGTCAGTTGTTATCCGCTCGGGCCCGCTGCTGTCCCGCCGCCTCACGAGCGCAGCGCCCCGAGCCCGGCGCCTCAAAGCTGGCCGCCCGGTGC